TTTTACTGAAGCTTGTGTTTTCCAAGCAGCATGTGAGGGGACAGCCTTTCCTACAGAACTGTGCAGGACAGAAGTGTTATCTCAACTCCATGTCTGGGAAAAGTAACACCAGAGCCAGCACAGAGCCACGAAAGAGTCGTATCCGGTCCCACAGCTGATAACCTGTGAGTCCCTAAACCCCACGACGGGCAAATCTGCAACAACCCACAGCACAGGAGCAAAAATTAATACCCTGAGAGATGTGACCAGCAGCAGGGCAAAGCTGGGAGCCACAGAGCAGCCAGAGCCACAGCTCCCTTCCTCCTCCACTCCCTCCCTGTCCTGGATCCACAGCTGAGAGATGCTGCCCTGCAGAGAGGCAAAGTCAGGCCACACCTCGCCTCTTTGGGAGGCATGTCCCAAGTTCCACAAGTTTCTTTTGACCCTGCAAAGCTCTAATTTGAGAAAGAAAGACAGGGGCTGGTGCAGCAACTTTGAATAGTTCACTGATTTCAGTGCTGGAAAATCCCACACGCCCATTGTCAGATAACATTAGACTGATCGGCTCCTGACTCCAGTCATTTGCTCTTGTACATACAAAGGCAGAAATGCCTGTCTCTGGCGATTGCAGACCTGCAGAAAAACAGAAATCTCCACAAATTGCAGTAATTGAAGGTTCCAGGGGATTTTATTAATCTTACAATGTAATAGCAAAAAAACTTGGGTCAGAATGGAGTTTGTTGAGGAAAAAAACCCTCTAAATCTGAGGCTACTACTTCAATTTCTAATAATAAAAATAGTAATGCTATTAAAAAACAAAGCAAACCAAAAATCCCACAACAAATAGAAATTTGCTTTAACTTAGCATTTCAGGTAGGCTAGAAAAATGATGTATTATTACCTTTCCAGCCCAGGTTTAAACCTACATGTTGTTAAAGTCTCCAGGTTTCTAAATGCAGTGGTCTTCATGTAGCACATACCCACACAATATTTGCAACTTAAGGCAGAGCATGAGAACAGAAGTGGAAAACTGCAGCATCTGTAGGTCAGGCCGTGAGGGCTGTGTCCAAAACAAGATGCCAAAGCTCAAGCAGAGCAGTAGGCAGGCTGTGAAAATCAGAGGGTGAGGTTATGAAGAAAGGCAATGATTCTTTCTAGCTTTAAAAACTGTATGACCATTCCTAATGATTAGAAATAAATTAGCAGGGGCCTGCTTCACCTTGTTCTAACTTATTTTTCTTTTTAACCTACTGCAAACCAAGCTGCAGCCACGTTGTTTCATTTACAACCCTACAAAAACAGACCCTCTCCTCCTAAGGCATCAGTACTGAGAAAAACCTTTCCCCTCCTTCCATCTCAGTGAGTAGCATTAACACCCTCTCGAAAAAGGCAGCAGGGCCTCTGTTCGAGGCGAGAAGATGCAACATGTCCACTGGCAATGACGTCAAGGTTGAAAAAGATGACACTTTATTAGGAGAGCACTTGTGAAAACCACCTACTGATGAAGCCAAGCATTGGAAAGCTCTCAGCAGAACCATTTATTGACAGAGGAGACCGATCCAAATGGACCATTTCACCGGCTTCAGTATTCCTGCTGGGAGAGTTTAGAGATTAACTTCTTTGCTTTTGGGTAGAGACTTTTCTCAACAAGTTTGTTCAACTTGTTAGAACACTAGAAGGGGAAGTGTACAACAAAACGTGCTCCCATGCAGGCAACATGATTTTTGAGGGAAGAAAGGAGGAAGGGAGAGTAAAGTTGGAGAAAACTCAAATTAGAAGCATGGGCCATTGCATTCAGAGACCAAATATTTGGCATTTACAGAGCAATTATTGACCTGTGGCTAGAAGACTATTTAGAAATTAAGAAGGGTTGTGTACAAAATGGCAATTACAGTCTAGTCAATCTGTACTCATATCTGGTGAAATGAAGTACAGAAGCTCATGGCTTTGGGAACCATAATACATCAAAAATTTATAAATAATCTTTTACTTGTCACTATCCCTGCAAAAAAGGTAAATTCTACATCAGGTATTTGTCATCCTTAGTCAAAAAGGTTAAGTTCATTTAGTGACATTGCAGGAACACAGCTCCAGCGACTAAAGCTTACGGTGTCCTTTGTTACCAGGAACATCCCAGCACACACCGTTCCATCACAGGAAGGTTTGTCTCATCTCCCAGGGCACTCTGAGGGAAGCTGAACATGTGCCCACAGTGTTCACACTTGGTCCACCTTCTTCCAAGCCATTTGCTGCAGTCAAACCTGGCTCACTTTGGTTTCATTGATGGCCACCCCTTCCTGTCTCTCTGTCTCTCCAGAGGGTGACATTTTAATTGCATGCGCCCTTTTTTTGGTCTGTCAGCTCCCAGTCTCAGCCAAACAGCTGGGTAACTTTGGCTGGCATCCAGAGTTAACATAAGTTGTTTTTAACCTCTTGATACAAAGGCATTTCACGTGGTTCCCCTGTGTGACCCCCGTGCACAAGAACCTGCTACTAAAATATGCCACCATATGCAAACCACCGACGTCCTGAGACAGCTGTCCTGAGGCACTTGGCCATGGCCTGGTCCCATGTGGCATCTGGGCAATGTCAGGGAGCAGCAAATTATTCTCACCACTTCTGAGCCAAACACGTCCTAGTACAGCACTGAAAACGGCTCCAGAGGACCTCCCGGTGCATTTTAACACCACTCAAGTTTTAGTTTTTACCAGTTTAGCGCCCAAACCCTCGTCTAGTGTCAGACAATCATGTTTCCTACCTAAAGCAGGGCTGCTGCAGGGCGAGAGGGAGGGTTTGAAGCAGACATACAAACCTCATCATGTGAGAGCTTGGCCAGGACGGACAAACAGAAGCTGCCAATGCTCAGCGGCTCCTCTTTGCCCCACAGCAGCAATCCCTACTCCCAAATGATCAGGCACAGCTGTGTCAGAGCTTGGAATTTGCTGATGAAAGGACTTTTGAGGCTAAAAGTTAGTCTACTTTTTCCAACTTTCCAGCTCTCAAATGAAGGTATTAACTGCTTTCTGCAAACCCTTGAAACATCAGGACGTTCCTACTTAAGAGGTGAAATGAGGACTCGGATACAGATTCGCAAATGTTGACTTACATAACTTGCCTGGTAAATGCATGCAGCGTGGTGTGCATTGATTGTCTGAAGATACAGGTGCTGTGCGACTCACAGGGAAGGTATTAGTAAGTACTTAACAATGCAGGGTAGGCTGTTCCTCTTTAATTACAGGGATGTGCAAAGCATGAGTAGTTATTTGCTCGCATGAGCAGCTCTGTCAGCAAATGGTTACCCAGAGAGCAGCAATCCTGCCTGCACCTCGCTCTCAGAGGCTGCACTCCCCGTTTTAGCCATCAGGACACAAAATCTGGGAAAACTACACATACTTGAGCCTGCATGCTTGACAGGCCCCCAAATATTTGTGTTGATTCAGTAATTTAAGAGTTATAATCCCATAGCTAAATATCAGTCGGCCTTCATCTTTTCTCATTCACAGAGGACAGAATGAGAAACCATTAGTTTACTTTTGGCTTCACTACAAAACAGTGCATTCTCCAAGGGAGCAACCATCCACTCTGCTGATGTTAGCAGAGCACTTACAGCAGCGAGGTCCTGGTCCAGGACTGGGGTTGCTAAGCAATATGGAAATACAAATAATAAACGAATAACAGCCACCTGCAAAAGATTACACACCGAATTGTACCTTACCATGAAAGCTTATGTTTCAAACTTCATCTCATTTGGATTCAAATTTGCTGAAATCAAATTTATAAAGAAGGAATGATTATTGCACAGAATGTTTTGAGAGATGTAAACACTTCCCTTTCTATTACTGTGATTCACTTTGGGTTGGGTTGTTGTTTTTTTTTTTTCTGCTAGGCATTTAAAGCATGCAGCTCTGTGGAATACAATGACTGGTTTACTTATTACAGCACACACTGGAAACCGCTTAAATATATTTTCCTGTCAGCACGTATTTGTGATTCCCATATTTAAAAGGTGATTGTTACTCTGTGTACACATGTGCCATTAGCATGATTGATGTCAGAACAGTGTTTGCGCTCCGCATCGGCGAAGATTAAAAGCTGCTCCCAAGAAATCCTCTTTACCATGCCCAGCTATGCAAACACACCATACTAGGACATCTCACCAAAGAAACTTCCTCTCAAGGCCACCTCACCCTCGCTGTGCCTGCTCTAAGCTCGAGCAGTGCGGCTGCTACTGTGCAGAGGGCAGATTCCTTCCCCGTAGCCTCGGTTTGTGACCCACTGGAAAGGTTCCCATTGCCTTTAATAGGAATTCAGCGTGGCCCTGCACCGTGTCCCATGCCAAGGGCTGGTCTGGGCGGCCACGGAATCACACAGAGATTAGGGAATGCAACAAAATCCCCAGACTTGGGGCTTTAGGATTACATTACAGTCTTTGGAATTTGATCCAGATAGCTGAAAAACAAAAGGTGCACTCTTGTTTAGATTTTTGTTGCCCTAGGACCTGTGAACAAGCACAGGTCAGTGACTCTGTTTGATAGGAAACTCCTGCAAACAAGCTAATTTGGGGTTATTCTGGTTTCAAGTGAAATGGTGGGAAATGAGGAAAAAAAAAACCTCTTTTTTTCCCCCAGTGGAAACACTCTAACACAATTCACTCTAACCCTTGGCATCCACCTCACCCACAGACTCCTGTTCTGGCCACGTGCTGGGAGCCACAGTAACCCCCTATATGTGCACTTCCACAGCAAAATCCTGAAGAGTTTGATTTCTGTTGGCTCACAGAGAAGGGCTTTAGGTTTGCAGTTGCTGTAGACCAAATGCTGTCACACAGAAACAGTTACACAAAGCTATGATTTGCTAAGCTGCAGCAATTTAATTGCAAATTTGAACCTTTGTCATCAAAAGATTATCCTATCTGGGGCGAAATGCTATTCTCAACCTTTGTACACAACGGGGATGGTCTTATCCTGTACCCAAAACAAACAAAAAGGTAATTTGCACAATTTTTTAAATTTTTTTTTTTCAAAGTTAAGAAGCTTACAGTTGGAGTGCTTTCTCCCTGGCTCAGAGGCAGGAGGGTGAGTGGCTGCAGAGGACAGACAGGTAAAACTGTGTGCACATCTCAAAGTGGCAACTTCTGTGGGAACACGATGCATGTTTTGGATCCTGGAGAAGTGAAGCAAGTCAAGGCGGTGCAGAGGCAGCAGAGGGAATTATACTAATCCAAACTACAAGGGAGGTGCCATGTTACACAGCCGGATGCAAAGCTTAGTATTCACTTTCTCAGGAATGTGCTCCCTGTAACTCGGTTACTTAGGAGATTTCACTCCATATTATTACTTAAGCTCACAATCACTCCATGCACAGAGATTAACCTGCACAATAAACACAACAACAACAAACAGAATTGGGGGCATCAGGGACAGACATGGATATCTGGTGGGGTTTTTCCCAGAGATATTACACGTGCAATTCAAAAGTTAGAAAGTTCAAAACGAATCTTGCCAAAAGTCCTCAAGTTAAGCGCCACTTAAACAGCAAATACAGATGAGTGTGGCATTATGTACCTGAGCTACTCATCTTTAAAAAATACATAAAGCAAAACAATGGCGAAGCTCAGCCCGGTATTCCAATATTACCCAGGAAAAGTACAGGTACAGTACCCCAAGAAAGCATATCCATCAAAGTATCAGTGGCTAAAATATCCAGGCTTCACTATCTGAAGCTACCCAAGAGCTTTGAAAACTCAGTTCCCATTAAATTTATCTTCCAGATGGCTTTCCAGATCCCAGCCTCAAGTTTACACTGACATATGCCCCATTTTACTCAAGCCTTTGGATAGCTTCCTTTATAAAAAGCATACATTGTTATTTGACTTTCAGAGTGGAGGACTTGGGATTATGTCATCAGTGCTCATTTCTGACTCAAAGCATGATGCTGAACAAGTCACCAGCTCCCTATTTCCAAGCACTATCAGTCATTCACTGATAGGAAAACTACCTGCCCCACTGGGACAATCTGAGGCTTCATTAAATGTTTACAAAGAATTTTAGAATGGGTACAAATCTACATAAAAGTAAAGGCAGTTTTCACATGTGCACTGGTTAAGGACAGACCCTAGAGAGATGCACTAATGGCACTGTACTGGAAGGTAAAATCATATGATATAGCAGCAGAGAAATATCAGATGGGAAGTAGAGATCCCTCAAGATGACTTTCAGAAGTGGAATAATGGAGGTGAGATTAAGTTTGACAGCAAGTTCCTCCAGTGATAGGAAGTCTGGTGTACGTTAACTCGAAGGATAACGACCTCAGCAGAGCCACTGATCACTGCTGAATTATGAGCCCTCAGCACGACAAAGCCATGAAGAGCATAGAAGATATTTCTAGAGAAAGGCATTTCTAGGAAGATAACGTCACTGTATGATGTACTGTTACCACCCCAGATAAAACAGCACAAAAGCATCACTGATGGAGGAAGATCAGACAAGTACAGGAGAAGCTGAGTAGGATAACGGCAGATGAATAGGTGAGTGTATTTCCCAAGCAAAATTGAAGACAGGTCAGTCTAGTAAAGGTAGAGTGGATATGATCTCTCATAAACTCTTCTAAGACACACAAAAAAAGCTGCTCAAACTTGTCAGCAACATGTGCTCAAGAACAAACAGAAACACGCTGCTCATGAGTAAATTCACCTGGAAGCTGGGTGGGGGGAAACAAAATAAGCAAGTCCCAGAGAATAAAGTTCTTAGTTTATCTACCATAACATGTAGAAAAAGCAAAATTAGAAGAGATGAACCTGTGTAATACCGAGCCTTTGACAGGACAGGACCAGTAACTTCAATCCCTGTCCAGCAGCAGGTCCAGACGCTTTCAGTGCTACAGGAAGGTGGAACAGATGTTCTTGGAGAACTATCCAAAATGAATAAGATGATCTTATATTGTATAAATGCTTCTTTTCCACAACAGACTGTAATGTTTACTTTAATTCACCCAAAATACCATCACCTTATTCCTCCACTAACCTAAGCTTTCCAAATTAAACTGACCTACCTGACACATCGATACAGTTTGATTTGACCTGCAGCAGTGCACTTCAGGCTACAGCTGGAATGATTGCTTCACTGTTTATTCCCTCTTTCAAGAAAAAATACATATATATCATGATGTGTGAACTCCTGATTTGATAAGGTAGCTGTGCTCTTTTTAATACATCCCTCTCTGGTTTTCAGTGCAATAACACACCCAGCATCCATAATGCTCAAGACAGCACTCACATTTTCTGCCATCATCTTTAATAGAGAAAATTCATTTGTATCCTTCTACAGGCAAAATAATGCCAGATGAATTTAGGAAAACAAGAGAGAGATTGGCACATAGCTTACAGCACTGGGAGACAGCTTGGGATTAGCAACAACAGGACTTTCTGTCCTGAGCTTAGACTCCACTAACCAGTGCCGAGGGATTCATGGTTCTGCAAGGATGTAGGTCATGCCAGAGGGGACACACAAAGTCCTGCAGGAGCCTGGAGGCAATTAAAAGTGGTGATGCAGCTGAGCATCACCACAGGCAGTGAAAAGGGACTTCCCCTGAGACTGGAAATCGCAGGCAAGAACGATCTATTCATCTTCCATGTCTCTGACAAGAAGGGATGGCTTGGTTATAAAGCCTTTAAAATGCAATGAGTCACTTCTCAAAAGAGGTCACCGGTTACTGAAATTTTCCTGAAGTATTTGATACAGAGAAAACCCTTGCATAACAAATATGAATTCCTTTAATCGTATTGTATCTGATTCTTCCAGCAATTACATTTGGGGTACCTGACAGTACAAACAGGTAATTCTCATATGCAGAGTAGAGGTCAACTGGCCAACAAGACACCCTTCTGCTAAAAATGCTCCACTAAAGTTTGTTTCCCAGACTGGAAGAGTTTGTTATCCAGGCGTAAAAGATGCCAAACTTCTGCAGAACTGCCTATATATACACCCTGTTCAAGGAAAAGAACGTGCCATGCACGGTCACCGAGGAGTGGACTAAAGGAACTTCCCACAGAGTACCACCTTGGGAGCAACTCACCCATGAGTGGATACACCAAACTCTGCAGCCTGACCAGCTGCTGAGCTGCCTTTGGGAGTGGATTCAGTGTTGCTCTGTGTTTCCCACCACAGGTCAGGTATTGATGAGGAGCAAATCCCCCACCTAAAGAGGATGAAAATCCCACATCATCTTGCACCACAAAGGTGAAACCTCTCAGGTACAGGTTCTACCTGACCTCCAGAACAGGTAAGCAAGGAGACCACGAGAGCAACTTCTGCACCACCCATAACCCTGCAAAACATCACCAAGGCCTTGCACAGAGTGTTTAATAATGCTGCAGCATCGGGATGGGATCATGAGAGAATCAACTGGTTTCTGCCCTTGGTATTACAACATGTACTTTTGAACTGCTCTGATCTTACTCCTCCCATCATTAAGCCTCTAGTCAGTTAAAACCTACACAACCCCTCCCAAATCATGTGGGAAAGGCCACCTTCCATCAGCCCCAGAGAGGGAGGAAGCCCAGACTGGGCAGAACTTTGCAAGTATTTTTTTTCTTGAGGTCATCAGATGGTCATAATTTTAACTGGATCAGCTCAATGATGCTGTCCTGCCCATTCTTTGAAAGCTGGACAAACCAGCGTGTGAGCTTTAAACTGGCAGAGATATTAATTTCAAATCAATATGAAACACAAAAATATCAATAGGCTTTTAAGAGTGAAACATTAATTACTTTTCAAAAGGTGCAGTACATAAATTTCCTGGTGTCTTTACAAATAGAAATAAGTCAATAACATGATTTCATAACATTTATAAATGACTAAGTTAATTAACAGGGAATCTTCAGGGAGATGATGAAGGAAATTTGGAAGAACCTTGTCTGGCACTGTTTGAAATTCTCAAAGGAAGGAAGCAACTTCTTAAAAAAAGATTAATTACAAGTTTTTTTGCTTTACCTTGATGGAATGTCTGTTTACATATTTAAGTCGGTTTTGACCTTCAAAATTCTGGCAAAGAACAATTTTCATTAAACCATCTCAGTGGAGGAACTTGGCAGTTCCTCATCTTATCTCTGAGGTTGAGAGAGGATATTAATCATTTAGCAGGAATGGTCAAACAAAATATATGTAAGTCCTATCCAGAGCAACCTTTAATTTATCATAGTAGACACAGCAAGGGTTGATGTATAGCAAGCTCTTCTGCCAGGTCTGATTCCTTTATGGGATTTGGTTGGAGGCTCCAGAATGAAACAATTCCACAAAAGTTGATGTCTCTCTCTAAGGATCCCTGACCATGAGAATATATCACAACATAATGGTAATATCTCTTCAGCACTCTGTGGCAATCCAAAGGCATCCTCAGCCAAGAAAACTCTGTATCTTGAAGATACATTTTACAGTAGTAAAATGGCTGTGGCTTCCCTTTCTTCTAAGTTTTATTACTTCAGTGTCCTATTTTCTGTGAAACTCTGCTGCTCTTTGGAGCCCAGTTCCACACCATCACCCACCTGCCTGGTCGAGCTGTGAATACCTGAATAAGCAGTTTGGCAAGGAGGAACGACGTGTTCTGTCTCATCTCTGGCACATGTGAAGCACCAGGTCAAAGAGGAAAGTGTGTTAGACATAAACACTCATTTGAAGAACAATATTTTCAGGACAGACTTATACTTAATAATACAGTAAAAAGGGAGATGCACTGGGACATCAATTGGTTAAGAATCAATTAAATATCAGGGTTTTTTTCTACAAAAGTAAATTAAGGTTGCCCCACAAAATGGAATTACTATTGTATATAATATTCTAAGTGACATGAGTCCTAAAACACGAGACTGTATCACATTAACTAAACCAAATACAATAGTGATGAGAATATCAAGAACTCCTCCATAGAGAATAATTCCATAAAACTAAAATGAATTTGGGTAGACATAAAGGAAAAATATTACAAAAATGAGTCATGACCTACAAAATGTGTAGTAGGAGACTGAAGGCACTCAGTCTATCAAGGTGTTCATGAGCTGGAGAAATACTAAGGGAAGATATTAAGACAGACAAATCAAGAACCAGGAATAAGAAGTTGACACGGAAAAATTCACAGAGAAATAAGGCACAAGTTGAGCAGCGAAAGTAACCAACCACTGGAATAAACTACTCAAGGAAAAGATAGACTTAACACTTTGATACTTTTTCAAGACTGTTTTTCTGGGCAGCATTGCTGTGGTCCAGCCAAGGTTACTCCTCAAAGGAGCAACTGAGAGAAGTTTCCTGCTGTGTTCTGCAGGAGCCACACCACCTCCTTGAACGGCCCACCAGTAGACGCACCACAGCCTGCACACCTTTAGGGCTGTAACCCCACAGCTAAAAATGCCCTTCCCAAGAACCATACTCAGGTCACAGAATCTTGAAATGGCTCTTTCTTCCTGTACTCAACAGGTGACTTTTCTTCATACAGTGAATGGGAAAAGGAAGTAGCAAAAGGCATATTAAAGTCATAGATCAGGATAATCTCTCAAAGTGCCTAATGCTTCCCACCACTCACCTCAGTGCTGCTATTAGGTGGGGAACTTCCAGGCCACTGCGTGTCTGAAAAACCAGGGGAACCTCTGTTTTGAGAAATAAATGTTTTAAAGAGATACTGGCTGAAAGATTTACTTATTCCATATTACCACATTGAGACTTTCATGTAAGAGTAAAATTTTCTTCGCTACAATCTGTGCTTCGGCGGGGCAAGAAGAAAATGAAAATGCTGCTCTGTGAAGTCCCTGAGTAGCAAAGTCTGCCTTACAGTGACAGCAGCACTACCAGATCTCCCAAGGAAATGCTCCAGCTCTGTGTCATTTATCTCCAGGAGTAACAAGCAGGTATTTCACTTCAGAACCCTGCTGACAATTTGCAAGGCAGGAATCGTGAAACACTCCTGCCTTGTACCTCTAAGGCAAGCACAGAGGACAGACTCCCATTTGCAGAGGTAACAGCAATGAAAAAGGAAGACCAGGAAAACAGGCAGGGCTGGGTAACAACAGGAACATTACTGAGGTGTGGATTTACATGGCATAGACAGATTTATACAGAATAACAGTACATCACATCTGTACTCATACAGCTGTGGAAGTGCACTAGGTAGAGGTCCCTGGCTGCAGAAGAAAATGCTGATTGTGCTACTTGTAAAAGGTTAAATTCTGGGCACATTAAGAGTGATTGGACTTTCTTAATTAATAAAATTCCTCATTGATTGAAACCCTAAATGGCAGGTAAACTGCTTGAGATTTTGCTGTTTGGCTACTGACTTCATCTGAATTGCACATGCTAATTCTCTGTGTGAAGGGAAAAAGGCCTACGTGACCCCTCTAACAAGCTCTTCCTTGGATTCCTGCACCATCAGACACAGGATCCTCCTGCACATTTGGCTGTGGCCCAGTGGATCTCAGCTCCCTTATAAGTTTAGGAAAGTCAGAGAGTGGAAGTTGCACATGTTTACCAATGTGGCAATAACAACCTTAGTTGGATGAGCTGCATTAAGGGACAATACCTGAAGAAAAGACAACACTCTAGGGTTGCCCTTTCCTTTACTAGGTAGGAGGGTGGCTCCTTGCACTGTCCTCCAAAGCAGAGGTGATGTTACATCACCTTCAGCCTTGCTTGCAATTGCTTATTCCTGTAAGGATTTACAGTGAAATGCAGAACTTGGTCCTGGAAGGTGAAAGTGTCCTTGCAAACGCAAAGAAACCAGCAAGTGTCAAAGAATTTTAATATACAATGCAGGAAAAAAATGCAAAATCCTACTTTACAGAGTTTTAGTTTTTCATAATCTAAGACTCTTAAAGAAATGAAAGCACAGAACATTAACTTGGAGACAGATGCTTTGCTCCATCTACCTCCCATCCTACACATTTTAAGAATTATTCTGTAAAGGTACTTCCATAAATCCTGCAGAGGATTACATATGGAAAGGGAAAACCATAGTTCATCTGGCTCACAAATCCAAAATGTCCAAATGGACTTTTTTCAGGTATCAATGGGTTAATACCCCAAACATGGAGAAAGAAAACTCCCATAAAACTGATACTCTGTTAATACAAGAAAAACGGAAGACACATGAAAGTACATTTTTTTTTTTAGCTAAACTACAATTCAGTAAGAGTTATATAAACATTTGGGAAGACATTAAAGATATATTTGAGTATTAAAGAAAGAATATGAAACTCTCCCATGTAAGTTTTATCATCTGTCTCCCCTGTGGAAGGGGCTGGTACCAGTGTGATATGGAACTATCAAGGCATATTCCCTCTGCTGCTGTCCCAGTACATCCTCCATGTTCAGCAGGGTGAACACCAAAGGATGCTCACAGCCAATACTTCTGATAATCAGCCTATCCCATGAAACCTGCATCCTTCTCCACTCCAAAAGCATGAAAGCTCAAGCCAACTGTAAAGGACATGCAAGCACCAACACACATCATCTCTTATCTTCTATTTCACAGGACTTTTAGCATTTGTTGTCGTACAATAAAAGATAAGTCACCCCCAGTATCCCCCTCTCTTGGGTGGTTCAGGAAATTTTCTGTGACTCTTTAATTTCAAATCACTAAAGACCAAAATTTAGCATGAAAGTCAGTAGCCCGATGCAATAAACATATACATTCATAAAGACTTCAGTTCCATTAAGGTTTTACTATCCATAAACAAGGAACATAAAGCTGATATTCTGCTAAATGTGGAGGAAATTATTTCCTCTGTAGGAAGATGTTTTCTAGCCAGAAGGCAGCACAGAAAAAAATCCTTTAGGCTCAGCTTCTTCCTCTCCTCCCAGACTCACTTTTGCCTTTATTCTGATCGAGTCATAATGCAACTTCATATGATGCCATAGGTGAGGTATGTTCCTCTTTATGGTAAACAAATGATGTCACAAACGCAGGACTCTGATTTCACTGCAGAACTGAACAAGTGGGTATCTGATGCGTGGAATGACAATTATTGTTCAGACACAAACAACAGAAATAATTGCAAAAGTAAAACAAATGAACAACCACGTAAATTAATTCCTTTTTGAATCACTCTTCCTGTTTTCCAAGTCCAAATGATTCTCCTTTCCTATTTAGGAACCCTGAGGGGATGAAAAAATGTCCAAGATGGTGAAATTAAAAATTAGCTATTGAGCATGAAACATGCAATGATTGCACTTCATAACATTTTTATTGCCTCGGTGGTGTATGAATCACTTCACAGTTCCACACTGTTACGAT